ATATGAGGACAAATAGTTCACACTTGCAAGGTCTCATAAAGTTTAAATCTATGATTCCTTTCTGAAACAAATAAAAAGTAAGTAAACATTATTTGAGGATGTTATACTAGATGGGTTCTCCAGGAAGCTGAAGCTCAAACAGAATTAGAGCACACCATTTTACAGGGGAGTAACATCTGTGAATGGAAAAGGGGAGGACACAGGATTGGGTAGAGGTAGTCATTAGACAATGATGCAGACCCAACAAAGTTTCTGCCAAACCTCTTGGTGGCTCCAGAGCAAAGATTTCATTTTAGAGGAGTCTCAAGTTGGGCAGAAATGGTGGGGCCCTAGCATCACTACCTTGCTCAGTCATTGGCCAGAGGCTTAGAACCTCGGCTAGAGGAGTTAACACGTGGTGGCTACTAGTTAACCATCCTCCTTGCAGCTGGGTAGTGAGTTCTTTTTTGAAAGGAAAGAACAGCATGTCTAGCAGCATGTCTCTGTGTATGCCACAGATGTACTTCAGTAAAGCAAAGCAAGAATCCAAGAAGGAGGAGTACACAGGATTTAAGAAAAAAGGAAACCAACCCAGGAACTCAATGAAAATAAAATCTCAGGTTGACAGTGATGCAGCTGGCAAAGAAAGCAATCAGGACAAATTAAGGTGAAGAAAAAAGAGGGCTCTGGGAAGATTATTTTTCAAAAAGAAGCAGATTCTTTACAATAGTAGTGTGATTAAGGACCTGGGAGACCTTAGAGATATGATAAAGGCACATGTCACTTTTCTCAAAAAGACAGAACAAAGATACTCAGGGATTTCTTAAAAAAAAAAAAAAAAAAAAAAAAAAAAAAAAAAGTCTTTATAAAACATATGTGGTTCAAATATAAAGCAAACTGAAATATGGCACAATTTTGAGAAATTGATGGCATGGGTGTTGTTGGGCTGACTTCCCTCCCCACCCCAATTTATTTGTTGAAGACCTAACTCCTAGTACTTCAGAGTGTGACTGTATTTGGAGATAAGGCCTTTAAAGAGGTAATTAAACAAAAACAAGGTCATTAGGATAAGTCCTGATCCAATACAACTGGTGTCCTTAAAAGACGAGGAGAACAGAACACAGAGACAGCAGGCACATGCCCGCACAGAGAGATGGCCACAAGAAGATGCAGGGAGAAGATGGCCATCTACAAGCCATGGGGTCTGAGAAGAAACCAAACCTGCCAATACCTTGAGCTTAGACTTCTAGTCTCTAGAACTGTGATAAAATAAATTTCTGTTTTTAAAAGCCACCCAATCTGTGATATTTTGTTATGAGAGCCCTAACAAACTATATGGGGATGGTGAAGAAATTTGCTTTTGTACATTTTTGTTTAACCATATGTAAGTTATTTTTACATAACATGTATGGGTCAGAGTTTCCCATAATTGTCATCTAATTAAAGATATTCTCTAATAAACATTGCTTAAGAATGAAGAAACTGAGTCCCAAAGATGTGAAATGACTTATCCAAGGTAACAGAGAGGAGAAGTGGCATGTGAGATCTCAGGCCTCCTAAGTCACAGCCAGGGCTCCTTTCTGTGGCACTGCTTGGTCTCTCTGTCCTCAGACGGACACTTGGGTTAGGGAGATTGGGCTGCTGGCTGTTACTCTGGGAGGAAGGAGGTTGAAAGGCAGGTTCTGATGCCAGTACAGTCAGAAAACGGACATTCTGGGAGTAGCAAAGTGTTCCATCTATTAAAGGGGATTCTCTTCTCACCTCTAAATCCAAAGGTCAAATCCCTTAAATTTGTTAACAGCAATGCTCCAAGGAGGTGTGTCAAGACTCCGTGAAATGTGGAAGAAAAAAAAAAGCCATTGTTTACTAGAAAAATTATTCTTAGACATATGTGCACTAAAGAGCTTTCAAGTTTTTCCTTTCAGTCAAGGAAACCATTCTACAGATAAGGAAGCTCTACCCGGAAAGATTAAACAATGTCTTTAGAATGACCATCCAGATTAGGGGTGCAGGGCTAGACTCAGGCTTATTGACTTATCCATGGTTTTCTCTAAATATGCACCATCTCCAAGAAGGATATTTGTGAGAAACCACAGAGATGATGTTTCTAGGTCAGAAAGGGAACTATTCTGGGGAATTCCAGTGAAGATACACTTGATTCTCATTATTCATGCAATTACATTGTATAAAGTCATTTTGAACCCTGTTAGCCAAGTTACTTATCTTTTCCATGTTCTAGTCACATAGTCTAAAAAACCACAGATGATGATGGTGACAGTACTTCTGTCACAGGTTGTTGTATTAAATGAATCAATATAAAGCTCTTAGGGCCGTGTCAGATACTAAGCACTATGACTCTTGGTTATTATTCTCTTAGAAATTTTATTTCTAATTTATGAAAGAATAAATCAGCTTTCTCAAATACAAGTAAATGCACCTGTGAGACTAAGGCCAACCCTTTCAAATCCTCTATTTTGGGGGATGGGATGAGAAAGGAAGAGGTAAAAGAGCTAAGAAATGCAGAATATGAGTAGGAAAGTGACTCATTTTATTTTGTTAAAACTTTACTCTTTGACTCAGAATAACAGGTATCTTTCAAGTTTTGGTAGCTAAATATTTAATTTTCTAGTATGTTACACATTGATTTAAAAACATAATTTCCATGCTGAATACAATAAAAATGTTTTCGAAATGAAGGCATTTTATATAAAACTATTATGCTAATAAATTAATCAATGTAGCTGGGCGTGGTGGCTCACACCTGTAATCCCAACACTTTGGGAGGCCGAGGTGGGCAGATCACCTGAGGTCAGGAGTTCGAGATCAGCCTGGCCAACATGGTGAAACCCCGTCTCTACTAAAAATACTAAAAATACAATGTAGCCGGGCGTGATGGCACGCGAATGTAGTCCCAGCTACTTGGGAGACTGAGGCACAAGAATCACTTGAGCCCAGGAGGCAGAGATTGCAGTGAGACTCTGTCTCGAAAAAAAAAAAAAAAAAATTCATGTATAGACAGTTTTTTCATTCTAGATATAGAATGTCACTTATTCTAAAAGAATTGATATGTGCGTGTGTGTGTGTTTGGGTAAAGAAAAATGCACATGTAAGTTTTTTATTATGTTCTAATGTAAGACAGCAAAAAAATAAATGGATGACTCATTGAACTTTTTAAGAAGTCTCCCATTCCAGTAGCCCAGTGCCCAGGATAGGTGGTGAGCTGTTGACATGGACCGTTCAATGAACTCTGTGTGTCCACTGATGAGGCTCACGCTCAGCATTTCTCTTCTTGCCTTGAAGCTTCCCTGCTAAGATGCTTGTGAGTTCAGAATGACTGCCAGTGCTTCTGGATAGCCCTTCTGTTGACCCCCACAATATACTTCAGCAGCTCCTCCTCTAATGAAGAGTGGATTCTTGTATCTCTGTAGCTGAAGGAGCATTCTGCAGAATTCATTCTCTCATTCATAGGCATTCAAGTGCTTGCATTTGTCACACATCATTGTAACCAGAAACTAGCCCTTTGTGAGGAACATTGGCCAGAACCCGTCTTGCAATTTGATTCTACCATCTAATTCTGATTCTGATCCATGTCCTGTTCTCATCTTAACCACTCTTGGACCAGCTTCCTGGGGGAACCAGGAGTGGAAGCAAAAAATTCCATGTGAGAAAGGAAAATGAGGTTTGAGCAAGAAAGAGAAGGTGAGCTTTGTAATTTGTAAGTTGCTTTTCAAAATAGACCTGACCATTTTGCTTAAAAAGACCACAGGAAGGAAATGGAATGGCTCAAATTATCCGCAGATTGGGCTATTTATCCTATTGTTTCCTCCAAACAGAAAATAGCATTTGTTTGTTGAGTACAGCTTTCCAAGCACTTGCTGGTTACTGGAGCTGTTAATACTGGGTGTCTCTATGGGTCTTGTTGGGTGAGAGAGTTTATATGCATCGAATCACAGTACATTTGTCTGTGTGTGTCAACATATACAAATTCATTTAAAACCATCTTACATTTGTTGAACATTTGACTTTTCAGATTTCTTTCACTTTAGCCATTTTATCTGATCATCCAGCAACTTGGAAGGTGGTCAGGGCAGATATGAAAACAGAGTCATAGAGAGATTAGCCATGTTATTTTCATCTCACTTGGTCACAAGGCTAGTTAATGAAAGCTTAGATTAGAACCAGGTTTCTTAACTTTCAAACCAAGGCACTGTCTACTTGATTACATAGAAAAAAAAATTCAGTAACTAAAGAGTTAGAGCAGAATTTTAATGACGTCAGAACTGTCAGAGCTATAACACTAATTCTCACTTACAATATATATTTAGCAGCAATTGACTATAATTTTGTGGGGAGGGGGATAAGAAACAAGAAAAAAGATGAAGGCATTTTATACAATATTATATAAAAACATAACAAGATCTTGAAAATGCAATATTATATAAAGAAGTAAGAAAGACCTAGAAAAACAAACACTTTTTCTGCCGTAGTATTTTAGAAATATCACATGGTTTCTACCACATAATAAATATAAGAATCAAACAAGCAGATACAGAGATGACCTCTGGGCTTAAATTGTGTAACGTGTACAGAGCCGAGCAATTTCTGTCAAGGCAAATAATTTTAACAAAAATGAGGTGATATGCGTTTTGGTGTAAATTTAGGCTCTAGAGTTTAGAGTTCTACCCCTTCATGTGTTTTTTTTGTTTGTTTGTTTTGTTTTGTTTTGTTTTGTTTTTCCTTAGTTTGGCTAATCTGAGCCAGTTATACAAAAATTATTTTACTAGAAAATGATCAACATGCTGATGGGGCTGGTTCAGTCTCAGAATGATTTTCTGGTTCACTTACAACATATAACCAGGTTGAAGTTTTGTTTTGTTTTGTTTTTAAGCCGATCTAAAAGTACACACAAAACCTGTTTCTTCCTGGTTTTACTTGCCAGTTTTCAGTAAATGCCAATTTTTAATGTTCCAAAAATATACCTTAAAAATGTGATTTTTAAGAAATCTAATCATCCTTTTCTGGCTCTTGAAACATTTCTATAACTTTATTGAATATTGACATGGAAGAGGCTCCACACCCAAAAACTCTTTATAGGTTCTCATATATTTTGATGATGATGTTTGTGGTAGATATCAATATTGTGCTACATGCAAGAAAAGTGGCTTCTGTTCTGGAATATTACTTTGCTCAGTTAGGAATCAGATCTGCCTCACATAAAGGGCAGGTTCATAAAGGCTGTACAATTCCACTGTCCTACATCAGGCAAGGAGCATAAAATAACTCTTTAGGCCTTTATTCACCCAAATTGAATGTGTTTCATAAGAAATTCTACTCAGAGAGAAAGTCTGCAAACTGAGAAAATTATATAGCAATCATGCTTTCCTAACCCAAAAATAAAATACCAAGATGGAAAAGTTCACAGCACTTTATGCCCCACACGCTCCCCTACGACCATCTGGAAACAAGACTGAACTGAGAGGAGGGACTGTGGACTCTCAGAGGGCTCAATATCAAGAGTCTGTGCAATAACTTCGAGATCCTTCTTTGATTAGCTGTGTTTTCTCATTTGCACTTGTAGGCTGGAGAAAAACTGGAAAGTCCACATCTAAAAATAAACAAAGCAAAGCAATAAACACTTTCATCATGTTACAGTTCTTTTAATGAAGCAAGTGATAGGTATTTTTGTGGAAATCATGACTGGCAAATCAACTCAATTCATAAGATATCAATATATCTACCATTTTAAGGACTTCAAAAGGGAGGAGGCACTGTCTTTACTCTTTATTCAAGTTTTGTCAGTTATGGAATTATAAAACCAAAGCACCAAACCCAGCTGTCACCTGGAGGGTACTTGCTGAACCTGGTGAACTTGAACTTTAGTTTTCACCACCTTGTGGGGATACAGATAGAACCATCACATATAGTTGTGCAGATTGGAAACTGAACATTATCAAAGGGCACCTGTCATATAGACTACAATGTATATCTACAGGGAAGGTATAGTTTATATGAAAGATGCAGCCTGGCATTAAGTAGTGTACAATTGGATGACTGGCCCTTCTTGGGACAGCAGTCAAAATTGGGAGTTTGCTTAGAGGGAGAGTCTAATAGAAATCTCCTCAGATAAAGCTAGTGCCCAAAATGGTTATGCTGTCTCTAAAATCACTAAATCTACTCCTAAATCTACAGAGAGATTTGTTAGCCTTTAATTTGGGTGCTAAGTTGAGAGAGCTGCCCTAAAAATGTTTAATGGCAAGCCAATGAATACACAAGTTGGCCGACCAAGTTTTCAAAACCTCTGTGTTCTAAGAAACCTCAAGATGATAATTTAGTTTAAAGAGGTCCAGTGCAAGATGTGCTCTCAGGCACTTAGCAAAAGTGAATGACCTCACCTCCAACCTAGGCCTCAAAATATCATCAGAAAATTTCAAGAAACATGAGCTCATAGTAAAAACAATTAGAGGTAGACAAATAGATGTGTGTGTGTGTGTGTGAGACAAAGAGGGAGAGAGAGAATGAGAGAGGGAGAGACAGAGAGAGAGAGACAGAGAGAGAGACAGAGAGAGAGTGATTACATATAGAAACAATGCATACTAAGATCCAATATAAACAGCAGAAGGCCAAATCAGACCCAGAAAGACTTCAAGAACTGCATTTATCAGATACAGAATACAAAATAATTACATTTTAAAAGTAATTAAATTAAATAAAATAATAGATCTTAAAATTTAAAAGAGAATTTCTGGAGATTAAAACATGGATAAAACCTTCATGAATTGGCTTAACAGCTAAAGAAAGAATTAGTGAAGTAGAAAACAGATTGGAAGAGATTATCCAAAATTTAACAGAGACAAAGAGAAAATATAAAAGAGTGTTAAAGGACATGATGGAAAGAATTGTAAGGTCTAACATATCTAACATAACTTTCAGAAAGAAATAAAAAAAAGGAGACACAATATTTGAAGATTTGATGGCTGAGACTATTCTAGAATTGATGAAATACACCAATCCATAGAACCAGCCAGGATAAATTAAAGAGCACAGTGGTTCACTGTTGTAATCCCAGCACTTTTGGAGGCTGAAGCAGTCAGATCATGAGGTCAGGAGATGACCATCCTGGCTAACATGGTGAAACTCTGTCTGTACTAAAAATCCAAAAATTAGCTGGGTGTGGTGACGCACACCTGTAGTCCCAGCTACTCGGGAGGCTGAGGCAAGGAGAATCACTTGAACTTGGGAGGCAGAGGCTGTAGTGAGCTGAGATCGTGCCGCTGCACTCCAGCCTGGTGACAGAGTAATACTCTGTCTAAAAAAAAAGAGAGAGAGAGAGAGAAACCCATCTTTAAAACATCTCAGTCACATTGAAGAACAAAAGACAAGGATTTTGGGCCGGGTGCGGCGCCTCACGCCTGCAATCCCAGCACTTGGGGAGGCCAACGCAGGCAGATTACCTAAGGTCAGGACTTTGAAACCAGCCTGGCTAATGTAGTGAAACCCTATCTCTACAAAAAATACGAAAAAAAAAAAAAAAAAATTAGCCAGGCATGACCGCAGGCGCCTGTAATCCCAGCTACTCGGGAGGCTGATGCAGGAGAATCACTTGAACCTGGGAGGCAGTGGTTGCAGTGAGTCAAGATTGTGCCACTGCACTCTAACCTGGGCAACAAGAGCGAAACTCCATCTGAAAAAAAAAAGACAAGGATTTTAAAAGCAATCTTACTTGTCAATAGCAAATATGGAAGATAAAACTGTGGAGCTAAAAAAACTATGAAACTATGTCTCCAACATACTGAAAGAAGACATCAATCTATATTTATTGACAAACTCTCTTAATAAGTTACATTTGTTTTTTAAAAGAGCATGATAAAGATATTTTCAGACAGTAAAAACAAATTTTTCTAACTGCAGACTCAATTTAAAAGATATAATTCAGGCAGAAACAGTTATCAGATGAAATAATTAAGGTGTAAAAAAATTTTTAAAAAACAGTAAATATGTCAGTAAAACCAAATAATTATTGAATATAAAACAGTAATAAAAATGTATGAGGCTTAACATTGAGAAAAATCTAAAATATGAAAGTAATGTATAAGTCAGAAAGAGGTTGATCAGGGTTAAAGTGTTACAAAATTCTTATATTGTTCAAGAGGAGGGTAAAGATAAGAATTGGCTTTAAATTTTGACAAATTAAGTATGTTTGATAAATTTTCAGGGTAATTCCAAAAGAACAGAAAAGAGAATATAATTTCCAAATCAGAGGACAGAAAGAAATTAAATAAGAAAAGACACTCTGACAATTTAAAAGAAAAAAAAAAAAAAAGAAATAGAAAAAACATGTCAACTTAAAGTGATAAATAAAATGATAAAAAATTACCAAAAATTAGGTATATGTATATATCTTATTATGTATCCAGCAGTGTTCTTAGCACTTTATGTATATTAACTCACATAAAGTTATAATGATACTATGAGGTAGGGTTGTTATTATAACCATTTTACAAATGAGAAAACGGGGGCACAGAATGTGTAACTAGGCCAACTTTACATGGGTAGGAAGCAATAGAGCTGATATTCAAACCAAGGCAGTGTTTCTCAGAGGTCTGTTCTCTTCAAGACTATTTCTATATTGTCTCTCACAAAAAGTAGGGTAATAGAAAAAGATTGATGGTAATAAATACCAATGGATATAATACTCTATTTAAAAGAAAAATATTGTCAGACCGAATTTTAAAAACCCAAGCTGCATTAAAAAATAAGGATAAAAGTAGAGAGTAAAATGATGAAAACATATTTACCACACAAACACTGATGGGAAGAAAGCTAATGTAAGTATATTTTAACAGACAAAATAAAATATAAGGCAAAAGCATTTCTGGAGCTAGAAGTAACTCCGTAATAATAAAATGTTTAGTTCACCAAGTAGCTGTAAATATTCTAAACTTATATACACTAATAACATAACCTCAAAATCAAAATCATAAATCAAAAATCAAGAGAACTTTATAGAGGAACAGAAGACTTCATCATCACAGTGGAAAATTTGACTGCTTTCAGCACCTAACTCATGAAATCAAGCAAGGAAACCTTATGTAGAATTTGAAAAGGACTATGTCGTGGACTGAATTGTGTCTCCCCCAAAATTCGTATGTTGAAGTCCTAATTCCTAGTACCTTACAATGTGATCATATTTGGAGATAGGGTCTTTAAAGAGGTAATTAAATTAGAAGGAGGTCACTAGAGTGGGCCCTAATCCAATAGGACTGGTGTCTTATAAGAAGAGATTTGGACACCGAGGAAACACCACGTGAAATCACAGGGAGATGAACAGCTACCAAACAAGAAGAGGGGTCTCAGAAGAAACCAACCCTGCTACCTTGATCTCTGACTTCAGACCTCCAGAACTTTGAGAGAATAAATTTCTGTTGTTTAAAGCCCCAGTCTGTAGTAGTTTGTTATGGCTGCCTTAGCAAACTAATATATACAATAAATTAGCTTTATGCAATAGACATATATGGAACAATGAACCTAACAAATGCAGAATGTGTTGTTTTGAAGCAATGTGGAACATTTATAAAAATTGGCTAAGTTCCAGGCTGTACAGCAAGTCCTAAGACATTTCAAAGCACTGGTATCATAGTGTTGACATTTTCTGATCACAGAGCAGTCAAGTTAGATACAAACAACAAGTAACCTCGAAATCCCAAGATTGAAAATTAAGATATACATAGGCCTAGCTTACAGATTAAAGAAAAAAATCATAATAGAAATCAGAAAATATTTATAACTCAGATGATGAGAGCAATATAAGAACGTCTGTGTGTGTGTGTGTATGTGTGTGTGTGAGTGTGTGTGTGTGTATGTGTGTGTGTGCGAAACTGAAGTATAACTTATAGGAAAATTTAAAATTTATAGTCTTAAATTTTTAATGTGAGAACAGAGGAAGGGCCGAAAATTAAGAAGCATAAAAGGAAGTTAGAAAATGAACAAAATAAACTGAGAAATAAGGAAGAAAGAAATTAAGTAGAACCAATCAACAAAACCAAAAGTTGTTTATTTGAGAAGACTGATAAGATTGTAAGACATCTGGTGAGAATGGTTAAAAAAAAAAAAACAGAGAGAAAGCAGAAATGACCAATGTAAAGAATAAAAAATAGAATAATCATGCAGATACTATAGATGTGTAAAGGATAAGAGGAAATCTTGAAGAAACCATTTTTTCTTTTTGTAAATAAAAAAGAAGGGAAATCTAACTGGTCTATAAACATTAAATAAATTAAATCAATAGTTTAAAATTTGCACAGTTACACGCCAGCCCAGAAAGGTCTTCAAAATCCTGTAGAAAGAATCCTAGTATTACACAAGCTCTCCAAGAGAAGTAAAAAACAAAGGAATACTTTGCAATTTATTTCATGAGGCATAATCTCAATGCAAAATACAGTAGGGAAAGTGAGGAAGGGAAATTATAGACCACTCTCACTCATTAACATTGTCACAAACATCTCAAACAAAATATTGACAGCTCATTTCATCAAATAATAAAATAGTTAATACATGAAGAATACACTGAGTTTAATTATCTAAGGAGTAGAAGGTTGCTTTAATATT